TTTCAGACATCATACACACCAGAATTTTCACTGATAATGTCACCTACAGCAAGAAAAATAAAGGAGAAAAATGAACACATGGGACTACATCAAACTAAAAAGCTTCTACACAACAAAAGAAACAATCATCAAAATGGAAAGGGAACCCACTATATGGGAGATTATAATTGCCAATGATGCATCACTTAAGGGATTAATTTCCAAAATATATAGAGTGCTCATACAACTCAACAAAAGGAAAACAAAGAACCCAATTAAAAAATGGGCAGAGGACCTAAATAGACTCCTCTCCAAACAGGACACACAAATGACCAAGAAACATGAAAAATTGCTCAACGTCAATAATCATCAGAGAGATGCAGATTAAAACAACAATGAGGTATCACTTCACACCTGTCAGAATGGCTGCCATCAACAAATCATAAAACAAGTGTTAGCAAGGTTTGGTGAAAAGGGGACCCTAGTACACTGCTGGTGAGAATGCAGACTGGTGCACCCACTATGGAGAACACTGTTGTTACCTCAAAAAATTAAAAATTGAACTGCCATTTGACCCAATGATCTCCCTTCTAGGAATATACCCAAAGAAGACTGAAATACCAATCAGAAAGAATATATGTACACATATGTTCATAGAAGCACTATTTACAATAGTTAAGATCTGATAACAACCTAAGTGTCCATCAAAAAAAAAAACACAAAAAACTGTGGTACATGTACACAATGGAATACTATGCGCTGTAAGACAGAAAAATATCTTATTATTTGAGATGACATTAAGGGACCTGGAGAGTATTATGCTAAACTAAACAAGCCAAGCAGAGAAAGAGAAATATGACATGATCTCACTTATTTGTGGAATATAATGAACTAAACAAACTGATGAACAAAATTGACCCAGAGACATAGAGGTAGGGTACAGAATGACAAACCTCAGAAGAGGAGATATTGGGGTAGGGGGGAGATAAACCACAGAACTTAGACAACAAAGCTGGGGAAGGGCGGGAGGAATGGCGAGGAGGGTGTCAATGGGGGGAAAAGAATAAAAATCTGTAACAAAAACAAATTAATAAAAATAATTTTTAAAAAATATATACTGCACCTGAGGAGCCCCATCCACACCTGGACCTAATTTAGATGGCAACATGCTGGTCTTTGAGCTGATTATAAAGAAATGGAACTTTGAGATGGGGGAATCTTAGGACAGGATAAGGATATTTTGCATGTGAAATGAATGTAAATAATTAAGCCCAGAGTCAGACCGTGGTGGTTTAAAATATGCTCATAAATTCTTTTTTAGGCCCTTCAAAAGATAGAGCTCATTCCCCTTGCCTTGAGTATGGGCTGGACTTTGTGAATCATTTCAAAAGAATAAAATAAGATAGAAATGGCAGTATGAGTCAGAAACACTATAAAAAGTAGAAATTATAATTCCAACACTGTTATAATCTGGGTCCACTTAGAGATGGGGCAATGAGTCATCACAACCTAGAATTCCAAACTTATCAAAACTGTCAATTGAATATGAGAACTGAATAGAAATATCTTTAGACATGCAAAGCCTCAGAACATTTGACTCTTATTCAGTCTTTATTAGGAAGTTATTTGAGGATGTACTCTAGCAAAACAAAAAGATTGACAATAAAGAACTCTTCCTACTTCCTGGTCAATTTTTCTGTAATAAATCTATTTTTAAAAATAGATTCCATTAACAAGAGAAAGAAATGAAGGAAAGGGAGGGAAGGAGGAAGGTAAAAGACATGGAGGAAACAAATACATATTGCTAAGTGAAAGAAGCCAATCTGAAAAAGCTATATACTTTATGATTCCAATTAAATGACATTCTGAAGAAGGCAAAACTATAGAGACAATAAAAGGACCACTGGCTGACAGGGATTCAGAGGAAGAGAAGTGATAAGTGATGAAGAGGTAAAGCACAGGGCACTGTTAGGGTAATGAAATTATTCCATGTGATACTGTAATGTTGGATACATGACATAACACATTTGTCAAAACTTATGAAACTGTACAACATAAAAAGCAAACCCTAATTTTAGTTAATAATGTGTCGATAATGTCTCACACATCAGTTATAATAAATGTAACCACATTAATGCAAGATATTAATTGTAGACTGGGGGTTAAGGGGGTCTCTATACTTTCTGTCCAATTTATCTTTAAACATAATACAGTCCTCAAAAAACAGCCTATTTAAACACACACACACACACTTCACTTAAATAAAGCACTGCCTCTAGAAAAGGGGTGTATTTTTTATGAGATGGGGATATTAGTAATAGTAGTAGTAGCAGCAATAGCAGTAGTATTACTGTACTCTTATGTGCTATTTAAGGTGTGTGTGTTTATTTTTAAACTATGTGTATACATTACTTGGTTTTAAATGTTCTTAATTTTATTAAAGTCTGTTTACCTACCAGGATAGCTAAAATGAAAAAGACAAAAGTGACCAAATGTTGACAAGGACATGAAGTACCCAGAATTCTCATATACCTTGGAAAAACTAACAGTATCTATCAAAGCTGATCATTTGTATAACATGTGACCAAGCAAATTCACTCCAAACTCACCCCCCCCCCCAAAAAAAAGTTCACCAAAGAACACATTCTCTAATGCTCATTGAAGCTTTAATGATAATTGCCCTAAACTGGGATCTATTTAAATACCCATCAAGAGTTGCAGAAACACTGTAGAATATTTACACAATGGAATTCTATACACCAATGAGAATAAACAATTTACAACTACATGCAACTATATGAATGACTCTCACAAACATAATTTTGAGTGAAATAAGTTGGGCATATGACATATATTTCTATTTATATAAAGTCCAAAAACATGCAAGTTACCTATGCTGTAAGAAGTTAGGATAATTGTTGTCTCTTGGAGGGGAGATGGATAGTGACTGGAAGGGGTATAAGAGGTCCTCTACGATAATGGTTCTGTTCGTGTGTGTGTCACACGTGCGTGCGTGTGTGTGTGTGTGTTTAACCTGAGTGTTGTTTCCACAAGAAAATTGAATTTATGAAATTCTATGAAGCTGTGCTTGTAACACTTTTAATATATGTATTTTTATATGCTTCAATAATTTTAAACCTAGACTTTAAAACCCTAAGACCCACACTTTTTTCTGTGCTCTACTAAACATTTAAAGAACACATACTTGGAACATCCTAGAAGAGAGAAATACTTGAAGAAGCTAAAGAAGTTCAATTTTGAGTTTAGAAGGATATTTCTTCAGACTTGCTGGGCTAGCTATAGTGTTTGAAGTTGTCATGATCCTTACCTTCCAGTTGGGCTTTGGATATGTTTATAATGTTATAGATTAAGGTTGAGGTGACATTTACCAAAACAAGTAAGTGCTGACAGTGAGAAGTTATTGCTCTTGTGAAATCTGAAATCAGGCAGTTTTTACTTCTTACTACTGAATAACTTCCATCTAAGAAAATTCTTTTGTGTCAGCTTCAGATACTACAAATTTGGCTTGCTCATCAAGGTAGACTATGTTCTGTTATTCTTTGTGCTAAGAGGAATTCAAGCTAAATTCAAGGCTTTAGACTCAAAGTCTAAAAAATGAATGTGTCAAGGCATCAAATAGAATCTTTTTTACTTTTAGTAATAATTTTTGTTGTACTCATTTGTTTCCTTTAACACAGGAAGTACAAACCTCATACAAATTAATTCCAATTTAGTTCTGTACATGTTGATTAACATGGTTCTTAAGCAACCCTTAACTAGACTTACTCCAAATGAAAACTTAGTGTGGAAATTTGACAAGTTCTTGAGTCAGTAACTTTAATCAATTACTTTTATAAATTCTCAGATAGTTTAGAAGACATAGCAGCACATTTTAAATATCTGTTGAAGATAACAGGATGATAAAAGACCTAAAATTTTTAAGAATGGCTAAAAAACCTCCAACAGAGAAAACTGTTTAATAAATCAACTTAATGCAACCTCCTGCTATACAATTTGTCAGCAGGCTAAAAATATATAGAGATTTGTCTTTAATTCGCCCATAAATTACCTTCTTTTGTCTCTTAGCTATCCCAGATCATGCTCTAGATTCTCGGGATGCTAAATTCTCAAAGAACCACTCTCAGCATATATACCTATTCTCAGCACACATGCCTCTAATTAATAGCATTTAAGTATTTCCTATGTGTCCACCATTAATATGCATTTTAATCCTTTCACTAATCCAACAGGTTACTAACTACATTTGATACTTGAGAAAGCTAAGTATGGCACAGAAAGTTCATGTAATTTACCTAGAGCTCTAATGCAAATGGTAAAGCCTTTATTCTATCCAAGGTACTGTGATTCACAGCAGTTACACTATGCTGACTCCCTTTTTTTTTATAGGAACTCAGGTACAAAGACAAATTCAGGCCACATAGATCTATGAATCCTGCCCTTGCTAATATTCTACTTCTACCTTCTAGACTGTAATGAAAATTCTAGCTCTATTCTTATTATGTGGAACAGCCCTATGTTCATATTGAACATTCTTACTTTCAGAATATAAAAGAATGTGAGCTTTAGACTTTCTATCATTACCACAGAGGGACTTGGGTTCAGGACTCAAAACTAAATTTTGATGCATTTTTAAAGTCTTTATTACTGACAAACTGGGTAATAGCTTGGGCATGAAGCACTCTCCTGGAGACTCACTAGACCATTAAAGAGTTGATGTAGCACAGACTCCCAAGATAGCACAAAACACATTATCTCAAAACTTCCAGGAGTTTGAAGTTCACCAAAAGTCAAAATTTATCACATATAAAATTAAAATGCTTTCCAATTCACATGAAAACATAAAATCCCATTTCAAAAACTATCAACATCATTAGAAAAACCAGACACTGTGTATTCTCTAAAATTTATTTACAGTTAATAAATTAAAAGGCAAAGTACAACCAGATTGTAAATCTTAATCATATGCACATCAAACTGTCCAAAAAAAATCAGTTCCATTACAAATAATTGCCTTCTAATGCACTTAAGACAGAACAGTCCATCAAGGTACTTTACACACACTGATAAAATACTATGAATATATATCCATTAAAAAACACCAATGTAAAGGGTGCTGTGGCAACCCTTAAAACAACAAAAATCTTTGAGTTCAAAATTGTTTTTTGTATTCAAATATTTTAATGGTTTTCAGATTTGCACATAGCAAATCAAAAGGTGTCAGCCACCAGCTTAAGATACACTTGCCCAATAGGGTAATCAAACTTGGACAAAGTAAATACACATCCCAACAATGACACTTTGCACTATCAACAATGAAGTTTGCCCTCAACAATCACGACATTACTAGTTTCAGTGGGAAAAAATAAGTTGCTGGTTGACAGGAAGGATAAAAAATGACATCAGAAATTTCAAAAGGTTATTTGAGGTGCCAGTCACCACATTTAGGCACTCAAGAGTTAAAAATTAAATAAAAGCCTAGCAAGGTGATACACTTCCTCCTAGCTTCCCCTCTCTATTTGTGCCATATGAGATATAGGAGAATGTAAAAGACTGAATAAAAATCATAGGATTTCTTACAAAAACTATATACAAGCTAAGCTGCAGACTCATTTTAGAGGATAATAAATGGATGCCTCACAATAAAGGCCACCATGCCAAGTTCCTTTTCACATTCTGCCCAAAAGTACCCATAAAATAGTTTCACTTTACTACCAACATACTAATCAACTATATTAGTTGTTTTTTCACATTTTAGAAGTTGTAACATAGGTTTTGTTAAAGAAAACTTGGCAAAAATATTTTTTACATCTTTTTTACAAACTAGAAATGGCATGAATTTTTAATAAACCAGATAAATATACTGGATTCAGGATGAGCAATTAGATCCATATTGAAATCAGAAGCCCAGATAATCCAAAGAAGCAGTTATGTGAGTTCAAGTGTACTCACGTAACAAGGCTTAAGTGGAAAACAATTAAGAATCTGTTACAATAAATCCATTGTGTCAGCGAATATGTTTCACTTTTGTGCTGAGCAAAATTATCCTCCCAGTTAAGTCTAATTTCAAAATCCTCTGGGAAACTATCTAGATAAGCTATATGTTGAAATTACATTCTAATATGGCCATTGCATTTTTTTAATTATTATAAAACTATATACAAAGTGAAGTGGTACAAATACAATTTTTTTTTCAGGTGCTAAGTTAGCCTAAAAAGTTAATAATGGGGGGGGGGGGATAGGTGAGGAGAAAATCCTATATAACTGAATATAATTGGCAGTGGAAGCTAATAACCAAAAGAATAAAGATAAGCTTCCTATCACACAAATATAATTTAATACTCTCCATCTTCCAATTGTTCACTTTTATTTATTCATGTGACAGTGTTTGTAACAATGCATTATCGTTGAGTAGTGAATAAAAGAATAGGATGCTTATTGGAAAACCGGTATCAAGTCATAAATATATATAAAATCCTTTTTTAACAAAATAAAAACACTGAAATTGAAGTCACAAAGCTCCTACAATGGACTATTAAACTTGGAAAACATCATTTCAAAAAGCTATGCCATTTAAATTCTAAGGACACAAGAGTCAAAATTGCAGCTCTCATTATTCTCCTAAGAAGCTACCAAGCAAAGATAAACCTTAATATTGAGTATTACATATGTCAAGTTCCAGCCCAGTACAGATCACTCCATGGCATAATAACCTAAATTTGAAATAATAGTGGTACAAAAACACTACTTGACCCTTTAGATATTACAGTAAAACCTGGCTGTGGCACCACTGACTAAAACCAATTAAGTCTTGTTGCCACCAATGACCAAAGGCACTTGGATAATCAAGAATAACACACTGGGCCACCTGGTATAAACACTATCATAAAAGTGTAAAAGAAGGGTCAGAACTCTGTGTGGCTTGCCTGTTTAATTCCTGTGGTCTTCAGTTATCAAAGACCCATAACTGCAAACATAAATTTAAATGGAAATAAGATTTAAAAAGGAAACTGGTGGAGCAAAACGTGAACTAACATGTTTATAGAAGTGATGATAATAGTCTGGACATTTCTTGCTATCCAACAACAACAAAAAAAAAAAAGAAAGAAAGAAAGAAAAAAAGATTTTGCCCAAAGTAACTTCAACCAGTTACTTATACCAAGAAATGCCCCCACCCCTCTAGATCATTTATAGCTCTGAGGACTCTAATGGGTATTCTGTTCATCATTTTAATCACAATATTTATACACACTCATTTTTCCTATTGGATTCCCACTTTAAAATAAATTATCCTTGAAATATTCCTGGATTTATATGTTAGACCAGTACAATGAGGCCAAATCATTTCTAATCATATTCCATCCATCTCTTTAACCAACAGTATTTTTTTATAATGCATTCTTTTTTTTTTTAAATCACAAGCCATATGGTTTCAATGCACTTTAATTTTTATTCAATTTTTAAAAGTTTAACAAGTCAACTTTTCCTAAACAAAACTTTGAGTTTCCATTTTCTTTAGAAGCTCAGTAAATATAAACTTTAATTCTCCAAAAAAAAAAAAAAAAAAAACCTTTAGAAACACCTTAAAGTAATTCAAACAATTGTATTTTGCATCTCTTTGTAATCACTGAGCCCATGAAGTTCAACCCCATACAAATCCTTGCACTATTAAGAGTCATAAGCTTGTGTCGTTCGTTTAGAAAACATCCTTGGTCAAAGCACTGGAATCCAGTTCATATCAGGAAATAAGTGGAATTCAGAATACCCTGAGCATAAACTAGTGCAACACCACAAAATATGTTCGATCTATCGTCCAGAAAGAGGTGGCAGTCAAAAAGAAAAAGAAAAAGAAAAAAAGTAGCAAGGAGCGGGGGGTATAAAAAGCAAGTGAATTCTGCCTTATTATGAAACCAAATTCCTTTGGAAAATAATGACTTCTTCGGAGGGCTTCCAGACCAGTGAGGTAGAGTCCAAAAGGGAGAAAACGGATCTGCCCCTACAATCCTGGAGACGTCTCAATCTGGGGTTAGGAAGAAATGGGGCCTCTCCCGCGGGTCTAGCGCTCTCCTCCCTCCGCAGAGCCGGTGCCGGGAGGCAGCAGAGGGCACACCTGCCCCGGGGTCCCAGACAGCGGCGCCGCATCCAGGGACGCAGGGCCGGGAACACTATCCGGTGACTTCTTCGCCCGTAAAGTGCACTAGGGGACGGAGTCCTGGCCGGATCTGTAAACACTCGACTGACACTTGTTCATCCCTCCAGGCGGAAGCTCCGTCCGAGGGTAGGGGGGCTGCGTCTCATGCCCGAGGCACCGGGAAGCGTCGGAGCCTCACCACGGGTTCCAGGTTCACACGCAGCACTTGGCGCGCCCGGCGCCGCACCGCCGCCAGGCTGCGCTCGCCCCACACGTCGCCGCCGACGCGGATGGTGGGGAAGGTGGTCAGCGTCGGGGTGGCCGCCCTCCAGATCTCCTCTAGGGTGCGGCCCCCAAAGCAGGGGCTGAGGGCCCCGGGCTCCCCCAGGGCCGGTGGCTGCGGCGGCGGCGGCGGTGGTTTCTTCCTGCGGGAGGCGGCCGCCCGGGCTCCGCGGCGCCTCCTCCTGGCCGCCGAGCCCCGGGCGGGCCTGCGCGTCTGCCCGCGGGCGGGGGGCCTCGGGGGGTCGGGGACCAGGGCCCGGCAAGAGGAGTAGCCGTAGACGTCCTTGCTGCGCAGGATGTGCGGGGAGAACTGGTGCTTGAGGCTGCAGAGGAAGCTCCAGAGCTCCGCGTCCGAGCTCATGAACTCCGTGCTGCGGGGCATGAACAGCTTGAAGGCTTCGCCCAACGCCTTGGTGGTGTCGGCCAGCGACAGTTGCGACCGCGAGTACACAACCTTCTCCTCCTGTGCCTCCAGCCCGGCCCCATCGCCTGCCCTAAAGCCGCCGCCCCGGAAGGCCGAGGCCGGGGCCGCCGGGGGCCGCCGCCTCTTCACGTTGCGCCGCATCGGAGGCCGCTCGGGGCCGCCCGCCTTCGCCGGGTCCCGCCGCCGCCGCCTCCTCCCGCGTCCGGCTCCGCGGCGGCGGCCGCTGAAGGCGCCTACCGCCCGGCGCGTCTGTCGCTACTTTTCTCGCCTCCGCCGCCGCCCCTCCCCCTCCGAGGGCGGAGGACGCGGGTGAAGATCCTGCCGCCCGGTACAAGATGGCGGCCGGCGCCCACCCCTGGGCTTTGTCATTGGATGGCGCCTCGCCTCCCTGGTTCCTCTTTCTTCTCCTCTCCCGCTTCCTTTCACCCTCTGCCTTTCTTTAAATGTGCCCGCCTCAGGTCCCTCCCACCGTAGCCTCGACTCCACCCATTGGGTGCTCTCAGAAGAGGGGCGGAGACTAATGGGGTAGAGGCCAGTTCCTGGAAAATGGTGCTGGGGTGGGTCATGGTAGTGACTCTTGAACTGGGGTCAACTGTTGGTTGGGTATTGGGAAGGGTTCCATGTAGAGGAAGAGGTGGACCTCAGCTCCACCTTGAGGAGAGTCACTCTCAGAAATAATGGGTGTCCATTTGTAGATTAAGCTGAGCTGGGAGATCTACCAGTCTGCTGTTGCTTGTATCACAACAAGGAAATTTAGGTTTAAATCAAGAGGGAATTGGCCTTTCATAATTCCTTTCTAAACTCAAAGGCCTCTTTTGGCAACTTCCAATTCTTCACTCTTTTGGCCCCAATCCATTTCAAGCAACCACTGGTATTCCAGAGTCATTCAGGTAATTGGAGTGGGTGGCATCAGTGAGATAATCTTCTAAACAGTAGAGCCATCTTCATATTTAAGATATTCCTAAAAAACTAAATAGTACTTGCTCAAGTTGATCAAAGATCGATTACAACAAAGACATTCTACTTAAAATATCTTTGGTTTTGAATATATAGTTCTTTCTAAATAAGCACACTTCATTTTTTTTTTTTTATTTGTATTGTATCCCTTTGCATCGTCATCTCTATCATTCAGAAAGGATGCATCATCACAGGCAATCAAAATAGCTCTGTTGAAAATAACACATTGCCTGTTATATTTGAAGGGAGGAGATTATGAATACTTTAGAGTAGTGGACATTCTTTAGTCCCCTCTTCCTCCTCAGTGCCTGCCAGATAGTGGGCACTCCATGTTTGCTGAGTGGATGGATAAAGTATTATTTGAAATGCGGTGAGAAAGAAAAATGTATTGAAATTGCTTAGAACAGGACAATTTTATAATTTACATTTATATTGTAATTTTCTGTAATTTCCTTAAATTTTTAAGGTTAAAAAAAATCTCCTTTTACTCAGAATTTGAGGAAGGCATGCAAATTTTACCCTTCAGTGAGCATCTTATTTTGAAGTAGAGAGCTGATAAAGAAGTTTTGTGATTTGTGCCCTAGCCGGTTTGGCTCAATGGTTTAGAGCATCGGCCTGCAGTCCATAGAGATCCGGGTTTGGTGCCTTGGTTGCGGTTTGTCCCCGGCCCTGGTTGGTCATGTGGGTGGCAGCCACTAGATGTGTCCCTTTCACCTCTCTCTCTCTCTCTCTCTCTCTCTCTCTCTCTCTCTCTCTCTCTTCTCTCTCTTCCTCTCTCCCTCCCACTCTTTCTGAACAAAAAATGGGAAAAAAAATGTCCTCAGGTGAGGATTAAAAAAAAAGAAGTTTTGTGATTTGCATATAGTTGCTAATGGTTCCTTCAGACAGTTTAGCTGAAAGATACCTAGTTCAATCTCTTTATTTCACAGATGAGGAAATTTGGACCCACAGAGGTTCAGTAACACACCTTGCTAATAGCAGGACTGGGACTATAGTTTAGGTCTTTGAATTCCTAATCTGGTAACCTATTTATATTTCACTGAGGATTTTTCCAGTTGCGCTGTCAGGACTCTTAAAGGCAACAGAAAATTATACATACACGGAGTAACCAAGGGACCTTATTTCTACTTCCTGTGCCCTTCTTTCTACTTACACATCATCCAGAATTAAACTATTTTTATGTCTTATATTGGACTTACAGATAACATTTTGTTTGAACCACATAACATTTTGTTGGTTTAGTGTCAATAACAAAAGCAAAACTTCTTACATGGGAAATAGTTCTCTACCTACCAAAATCATAGTAAGTTTCTGGGGAAAAAAATCATTTTCCTAGAAAAGCATACCCTGATCTCAGAACTAGATCAGGAGTGATTGCCAGGTTCCTGAGTCCTTACATAAAAATGAGATAACTCTTTACATCACAACTAGTTATTGGTGATTCTGGGAACACATGGTAATATAAAATTTTAATAACTTCCATTGGAATGCCCCTGCAGATTGGCATAGAAAAATCATATATGAAACCAGTGGAATGTTAAGGGGACTTCGTAATGGAAGAACGGGGTAAAATAAGGATGTATGTACTTCTGGCTTCTCATATTGTTATCCTCTCCCTTCCATATTAGTCATATTATAAGTACTTAAGAGGCTTTTGCCACATTAATATATACCAGGAATCTACACAGATTTACACAATTGATTTAAACTAAGAGGGTAAATCTTTTTTTCAACACAATTTTTATTTCAGAAAATGTAAGATCTCAACAAATTGATGAGTATTCATTCAATAGTTCATTTTTGATAACACATACTCATTTAATTTACTTAAAACCAAACATGTTAAAGTGTTTAAATTACTAATGGCTTTTAAATTTGGTATTGTTTGATCTATCTATTTCTTTGTGTATTTCTTATTTTTACATTTTTTCTTAACCTTTGCTTAGCTCACATAGTCTTTAAAATGGCTCCTCATCTATTCTCCAAAGTAAATAAAATTTACACAGAAAGATGATATATTTCTTCTAGTTTCTGGGACTTTCCTGAGACACTGTAAAGCTTATGGAAGTTGACAACTTAAATTTTTGTTCTTGAGGAATAATAGTTTAAATCCTCAGTTTATTCATTTACTATTGAAGGGAAACAATGCTTCCTATAGCTGATAAATGATACATAATAAGAATAATGGAAAAAATCTAGCTGTGTATATTTTTTAATTTACATGAAAAAAAATGAATTCAAGCAGAATAAAGTGATTGGAGAAATTAAAACCAAAATATATCTCTTAGCTTTCCAGAACCTTTAAGATCCCACTTCTATAAAATAATTTGATTCTTGGAGAGTGACCAAATATAAAAATAAAAGTATATGTGGTTGTGAGAATCAGTTCTGGAATCAAACAGAATTGGAATCAAATAGATCTTTACAACAAATGACCCTGAGCACATTTTTTTACTTTTCTGAGTCTCTGTTTTCTCATCTATGAAATGGGCATGACTTCTACTTCAAACAATTGTTTTGACAATTGTATGAGATAACATTGGTGAATCATTTACTATAGTACCTTAATTACAGTAAGCATCCAATAAATAATAGCTATTCTTATTTGTCTTATCTAATTATGAGGATTTTACTTAGTTTAACCAACATATTTCAAACCCTGTAGTACAATACAAGATTTTCAAAATAGTAGTAGATTGATGAGGAAAAAATAAAATGTTCATGCTACAAGAAAACTGAGAAAACATCTAATAAGTCCAACACTCTTAATTCAAATGACAATATTAAGATACCAAGAGATCTGCCCAAGGTCACACAGCTGAATGGTGAAATAGCCTGAACTAGAACCTAAGTTTCTGTTAGTCTAGAGTTGTTTCTAACATTCTTGTATTTAACACAAGGAGATAGCATTAATTTTGGTTCAAATTAACTTAAAGAGCATGATTTATCAAGAAAAATTTCAACATTTTAATTAGAACCACTCTAAGGTAATTTAGATATTTCTATAAAAGTTATCTCAAAGCCTCAATATGCTGTAAAACTGTCTAATGTGAAATATGCAAAGACCATATAAACTAAGAGGCTAGGGCTTCCACTTCTAGGAAGATTATTATACCTTCCCCATTCCCCCTACTACTTACAACTAAAAACCCTGCACATAACATTTTAAATGAATATAAGAAGACTGATAAATGAAGAGAAGGAAGTAGACAGTCTAGGGACCTCAGAACCCAAGGAACAACATGGTATGGAGTTCCCTGGGTTTCCTGTTTTACTTTTTTCTCTTTTCTGCACGCTTCTCAGACTGGGTGCTGGAGAAACCAGCAACCCATAAATTCCAACAGATATAGGCATAAAAAAGCCCCGACAAATTATTGTTCTCTCTTGCTATAAAAGCAGGAAAGGAGTAAGTTAGCAAAACAGAAACCTTCTAAGAAAATTATCTACTTCAACAAAATACTGCAGAAAACTATGGCTTCTGCCCTTCTCACCATGCTGTAACAGGGCACCATGCTATCCTTTCTGGTGTTGTTTCAGAGAAGGCTAAATAGGGAATCACTATTCTCACCCCTGCTGGGCAGTTAAGAGGCCATCCCCTCCCACAGTGTCTATGGAGATCATGTGGAAGCAGTAGCAAGACACTCCTACCCCTCCCAGCTAGGAAGTTATCACTGGAGGTCTAGTGGAGACCTAGAATTCCCATCCCCACTCAGCAGTAATGACTTGGGTGTCAATAGAGGTAGATCCGAGATACCTGGACTTCTTCCTGGTAATACCAAGGTAGCACCTCTCCCTTCCCTTGTTGAAACAGTGTCAGAGAAAAACAGCTAAAACAAGTTTAAATAATATTCCAGAGTCTCACAACACAATAATGCCCAGGTTTCAACTGAAAATCACTTATCATACCAAGATCCAGAAAGATCTAAAGCTGAATAAAAAACAACAATCAATAAATGCCAACATTGAGATGATAAAGATGTTAGAATTATACAATAAAGATATTAAAACAGCCATCATAAAGGCTCTTTAATAAGCAATTGTGAACACTCTTGAAACAAATGAAAAAATAGAAAACTGCAGTAAAGAAATAAAAATTTCAGCACAGAAATAAAATATATAAAGAAAAAACAAATAGAAATTTTAGAATTGACAAATACACTAATCCAAATAAAAAGCTCAGTGGA